GGTCTGTGACAGCCAGAAATCTTGCTTGTTTGTAGGTGACCAAATACTTTTTCTTTTCCACCATTATTTGCAAAAAAATTCTTTAAAAGTCAGACGAAATGATTTTCTCAAAATTTTTTTCACATTTTGTCTCTCATAGTTGAGGTCTACCTATGATGTCAATTACAGGCCTCTCTCATCTTTTTAAGTGGGAGAACTTGCACAATTGGTGACTGACTAAATACTTATTTTCCCCACTGTATGCTGCATTTTTTTTTTTTAAATGATCGTATCTGTCTGTTGGAACTCAACTCAGCAGTTCTCAAACGTTGTTTTGCAGGTTTATATTCTGAGTAAGGAGGAAGGAGGCAGACACAGACCGTTGCTTTCCAACTTCATGTCCGTCATGTTTTCTCTCACCTGGAACATGGCCTGCAAGATCACTGTACCTGAAGGCAAAGTGTGTGTGTACTTCACTGTGTATATTTGAGATTTTCAACAGTTTAGCTGGTTTTTATCGGGGTTAAAGGGACATTTTGTTTTGTCTTCTTTAAGGACATGGTGATGCCTGGTGAAGACACCGAGCTGATACTAACGCTCCGAAAGCCGATGGTTCTGGAGAAAGGCCAGAGGTTCAATCTGAGAGACGCAGACCAAACCGTGGGTACCGGCGTGGTTACAGAAATCCTCACTGTGTCAGAGGATGAGGAAATCAACTTTGGCGGAAAGTAAATTTGAGCTTGGGGAGAAAGGGGATTACACAGTCTGGCTGCAGGTTTTATCTGCTGCGATGAAAATATTCCTGTCATATACAGAAAACACATGCAGAAATGAAAACTAAAACAGGAAAGACCTTAAAGACATGAAGGGTYTGTTCAGTTCCACTCAACTAAAATACCTGTGTTGTTCAGTATGGGCTTTGTRCAGGTAGAAATAATGTCATTTATACTGTATAATAAAAATGTAGTTAATAATCAAAGTGTCTCTTTGTTCTGTGGTGATTTGTCTTGCTAGGCAAATAATAAAAAACAAACAAAAATACAGATATTATAAAAAAGATCAAAAATACTATTAATTTAGTGCRTTTGTTCTAAATCTTCAAGCGTAAATGAAGAGCTGGAACGCTTTTCTGCTGAATGTAACAATTTCAGTGCAACACAAGAGGGCAGCAAAGACACCCGAATAAATATCTGTGGCTCTGAGTTCAAARTTTTCCTTAGAAAAAAGTTAAGAACTGATATTTGTTCAAATATTTTCCAAGATTTACCTGCTTCAAATATTGTTAAAAGTCTAATTGAAGTTTATTTTATAAAGGAAAACTTATACACTCTAAATTGTCTCCATACATATAGTTTAAAAATGATCATTATTCTTGAGCCAACTCAGAATTTTTTGTGCAGCTTTAAAAAGCAGTTTTCACCTGATTTTCCTATGTTTTTAAAATATGTTTATTTCCTAGGCATAAATGTAATATATTTTAACATTATATGATGAAATGAGTAAAATCATGCGTGTTGTGCCAAGTTTCATAAATATAAAGATATTTTCATTGATTCTTTGTGTTTGAATGATGTCACAGACATTAAGTCCAGTTCTATTAAGTAGTACGTTTGAAGCATATTTACTTTTGAAGGAGGCTCAGCCAAAAATGCGTCAGGAAGTGACATCAAAAGTGAATTCTTTAAGAAAAGGAACTTTGGTCTTTGTTTATAGAAAAAATATCATTTGAACTGTGACACTTCATCTCTCTGTTAGTTACTCCAGACACCAGTTTCTTCTCTACTCTCTGGCTGTGTCTCAATTGGGACGTGTATTTACACGACTTTTTACTGGAAGAATAACTTCACAAATAGAACGTTACACAAAAATAAACATTAATAATTCAGGTTTAGCTCCTGTATCAGTACTTGTAGTTGCATTTTATTTAACTTTTATTTAACATCTTATTACAGAGCAAATTTCATCAGCTAAGTTGCTAAACTTATATTTAAAAACAAATTCTTCGGTCCGTGATGAATTTCCAAACTACGCCAACTTTGTAAAAAAAAAATTTAAAAATCTCTGCCGTCTTTGTTTCTCTATTTAGTTTGTTGTCAGCATTGAATCCTGGGACATCCTCTGCAGGGAGACTGCTTTGATTCCTCAACCAAAGGAGAATTGGGACAGCACTGTGCGGGGCAGTGAAGTTTGCAGCCGACAATGAGGC